GTGTTGTCGTTGTCTTCGGGTCTGGAATCATCTATGGCAGAGCCTCCATGATCAGGCGCGGGGCACATGCTCGGTCTTTATTTGGAAGTGTGTGTGGTCGTCCGGCGCGCGGAGGGCCAGACGGAAGGAGAGAGGTCGGGTGGCTTGGGACGGCGCAAGTCATGAACTTGGGAAGGGTCCAAGAGCTATGTTCGTAGCCGTTCGCGAGGAGCACGGAGGACGGGCTGGGGAGGTTGCGTCGGACGGTGTTGCGGTTATTCGGTGCTGGACTGGTGTCGGCGCAGGGTTCGCCTTGCGCTGGGCGTCAGTTCGCTTCGGAGTTGAAGGAGGGGGGAGAGAAGCTCGGCGGAGGGCAGAGAGAGGAGTGTTTGTCGAGGGCTTTGGGATTGTGGAACGCACTCGACGAATTTCAGTTGAACGTGACTAGGACCCTGGGCCGATAAAGCTGCAAGGCAAGTGATACCTCACAATTTATTAGTACCTCAAGTTACCCCCCTCCTTTTCTTCCCCCTTCAGCGACAAAATGCGCGCGCGACCCCCGCGTCGTATCTCCGGAAGGTTCGTTATCGATAAGCGGCAGGTCAGATGTACTATTTCCTATCTGGGCAAGTGCCTAGGCACTTTCTGGGGATTCGGCTAACGGAGCTATGACCTAGGTACTTACCTTAGGGGCTTTACCAAGGTCCCTTCCCCTACTAAAATATCCGTCAACCTCTCAAGGTTGGGAAGTTCCAAGTTCAGTGGAGGTGGGTTGTTGAGGTCCCCAATGCCGCTGGACCGAGGCTTTCGGGGTACCTCAAGGTAGGTAATCAATCGCCAATGAAGCCCATCCCCTCATCATCGTGTAGCCATACTTCCTTTTCTCCGCAAGAATTCGGAAATGGACATGGACGTCGTCATTCGTGCGACGTTACCTCTAGCTTCTTCGGCAGCCATGCAGAAGACCTTGTCAACCAATCCGGCAGCCGACCCGATTGTGCCGCCGGCCGTCGGTGTGGCTGTCGTTGTGTTCTAGGTAAGCCAATCGACTGCGACCAACTGTAATCCTGAGATTGCCGTAGGTTCGATCAATACCTATCAAGCCTCGACCTGCATTTCATCTTGGCCGCGCTAGGTACTCCCAACGGGTTCTTCTCAGCATCACATGCCACTAGCCTAGTGCAGCTCAATTGCCATAGCTCTCCAAAGTCGAGAAAGAAGCTCACATAAGTCTCACTGTCAGCAACCATCTCGAATTCGGTCTTGGGCCCGAGCCATGGGATGCCGCCACGCCATTTGACCAGCCGTGCGATTACTATCCAGATGAACACCAGCTCAGGTAATCCACCGGGAAGGATTTGTCCTAGCGCCGAAATCATAGATAGCCGCTCACAGCGCACAGGACTTGGCTCGTCAGTGTGTAATCTTCAAGGTATTTAGGTAGCTACTAACTCATTTCACTCTATGTAAGCATGCCAGGAAATAGCACTTGGATAAGCTATGTTTTGGTATTGTCTGTCTCCTCATCAGTGACCTCTGCACTCATAATGATAGGAGGAAGATTCCCCTCGGTTTTAGTGCCAACGGGCAACCCCGTCAGCGAGCTACCGGCCGGACGGCAGATGGGCCCACAAAAACACGGCGTCATTTGACATTGGGTCCGGTAACCCCCGATTCAAGGGAAGACGAACAGGAGCCAAATTGAACAAAGAACTCAGAACCACCCAGAGGTACCCCTTCGTTTCAAACTTACTCACCAATTGAACATGCCTCTTCAGATACTACTGACTAAAGATGTTGTCCCTGAACAGCGGCCGGGTCTCACAGTCCGCCCAGTTTTACGCACTTCTCGCGGTGTCAATGAGCAAAGGTGAAGCGGCCCGCCCCTCACCTCTTAAATCAGACCCATCTACCTTGGATGTCCTCTAGCGTGGCTGGAATGTGTCTGCTCGAAAATACAACGGTCAGTCTTGCCATGATCTTCTCAAGGACCGTCGCCAGTCTCTAGCTCGTTCAAGAAATATCTTCATCGAGAGTGACTCAAAGATTTCCGAGGATGAGTTTTCCACACTCGTTTCCTCAAAACGATGGCCGTGCTCCGTCACACACCACAATGCCTCAGAGCCATCGCCTACAGAATTCATTCACACCTCTTAAGGACCGTCTGTCGTCTCAGCTCCAGGGACCTCCGATGAATACGTCGCAATTCGACTCTCAGGCACATCCTATGAGTCTCCATATTCTTCATCCCCAGACTGATCCCCGCTACGTGGTCCCGCCTGACTACACTATACCCAACGTACCACCTGGGCATCCTCAAGATTATTACCAAAGCCAGGGACCTAAGCCAATCTTCCAACCTCATGGGCCAAATTTTCGCACAGAGTCAGCCCAAGAACCTCTACTATTTGAAAGGCCACCCCCAGATCAATATGCAAGTAACAAATACGAGGACGCAGTATATTTTGATGAAAGGGAGAACGACTTCCTGAACGATGACAGAGGCACCGGATCTGCCATAGGCGACTTCCAATACACCAACGACTGGGCCCAGAATAGACTGAGAAACCCGCCGGAGCGGTCTGGTCAGAGTTCTCGAGACTACCCAAGGAAATCGAGGGGCTTTGAGCACGATGACCCTCGAGATCGCGCCATGAGCAGCGAGAAGGGACCTCTTTGGAGTTACCGAGACATCAGCCGGACAGGGTTGGACACAGCAGAAGGATGGCGGCAGCAGGCGAGTTTTGGCGCGCCTCAAACTAGGGAAGAAAGGCATTCCGAACAAAAGCAGGTGCTAAGTTCTGAAAAAGGTGGTGGAGGCCAGGAAATAGCAATGGATTTAGGAAGAGAAAGGCGTTTTCAAGGAGAGATGGGGAGAATTTCCCAAGAACAATGCAGAGGCGCTCGAGGGTCACGCCTTTCGGAATGGGCCTCCTCTGTTACTAGGCCGACGGCTCCCAGGCGACGCGGTTCAGGGTCAAGCCGCTCGACTTCACCCGATGAAGCCATTGATAATTATCAGCGGGAGCCTGTCGCTTAGAAGAAAAGCAGCGTTTGCCAGAGCTTCCGCCATGACAGAGGGAAGCCTTGAGTCATGTTCAAGAGCAATTCGAGGGCTGTCCAAAGACGAATTATACCTCCTAGAAGTCTACGAATTCGCGGCGAGGTGGGTCCGTTGCTTCATATAGCATCTATATAGCAATTCACAACACATTAACGCGTAGTGCAAGCTCTTTCGATGCTGACAGTACTATCGGGCTGCCTTGGTCATTGGCTGCTGAGCCTGTCTCGACAAGTATGGAGATAGTTATTCGTGGCGAAGGCTTGTCAGAGACGTGTAAATAGGAACAAAAGAACGACTACTGATACTCAACTTCTGAACTAGGGGTGGAACTCATGACAACGACAGGGCCCTCGAATCCACGACTACCTCTCGGATGTCGAGCATCACTCTGAGAACAACTATGAAAATTTCCGTCTACATCGGGATTTATCTTGAGCTGGTTCAAGAGCCACCGTTCGTAGCGTATCTCAAGGGGTTCTACTGAAGCTAGGAGTGACACTGTCTACAAGCGATTACTCGTTATACGCCTCGCTTTGCTTAGGAGCCGCACCACTATATTAAAGGCCAAGTCCTCAAACTTGATCTCAAGGCTTGATATTATATCGACTGAGCGTGATGTATCACAGGCTTCTGCTCTTCGCAAAAAGGCTCGGCCCTATAGACTCGAGAAAGCTAAGGTTAGCGCCATGGTTGAATGTCTATTCACAGGCTTCTCACTACTTGCTTACTCTTGAGTCACAGCCGCATCGTTGAACATGGAACATGGTGCTATATGTGGAATCATCTGAGCAGAAGTAGGATAACCGCCTGAATTTTGCAGTGGTCTATTGGGGATCTTGAGATCCAGTGATTTGGTTCCTCTATAGCGTCCTTTGAACTCGGGTCCAGGGACCCCCGGCGCAGTGACTCGCGACCCCAAAGGCCACGAACGAGAATCAGTATGGACAAAGGACTGAGGTCCACCCAAAACACACCTGAATTCAGGCGGCCAAGACATCATAGCCGGCAAAGCATTCGGCCAAAAAGGCTTTACCTGAACAGGAGTCGAGGCCGATTTTTATGCTCTCAAGTACCCCTCATGTTGTTCAAATACTAAAGAGTGAACAAGTGTCTTTGATGCATGGACTTGAATAGACATCTATATAAAGTTATTACAAAGTGGTATGTTGAGGGTGATATGAATAATCTTGTTGAGAACTGGACAGGAATCGTCAGAACTGCAATCGTTTGCAAGAAACATCTTCATCGTCAGCGGCATAATATAGTATCATAAGGATGAATTCACCACTTCGAGGTGAAACTGGCTCTACCAAGTACCCTGTCTACCACCACTGCAACAAAAAAAACTGCCCTCACAAATCTCATTTGGGAGACCCGAGTTCAACATACAACGGACGGCCGCACTGCAATGGACGAGCTTCAGGTTGCGAGCACCCAGACCATTTCAGCCCCGAAGAACTCGAGCAGCGAGTACGTGAACATGCATCGAATCCGGTGATACTGAATGACGAGGGTGTCCCGGAAGACATGTTACCAAAGGTCCAATCCAGAAGCCGGGCTCGAATCGCCACGAGAACACACATGAAGGATCAGCCAATGTCGGCAGCCGGCTTACAAGAGTATCGAGAGATACACCCCTATGCATTGAGAAGAGAACCAACTTGGGATACTAGACTGAACCAAGGATTTGTCTCACACGATACGCCTGAATTCCCACACCATATGCCTGGTCTCCCGCACCAGATGCCTGGACTCCCACACCATATGCCTGGACTCCCACACCATATGCCTGGTATCCCGATGAGCACGATGCGAGATGATGCCCCACCAATGACAGGCTACGTATGGGCCCGGAATAGTCAGAATTTTCCGAATCAAGGACATTCGAATGTATATGCCCCATACAGAAGGGGCCGCGTAGAGTCTCTAGGGAGCCAGAACTCTCAGACTCCCCCGAATGATCATCGCCATTCACAATCGTACCCCGAAGAGGAGTATGAACCGGTTCCAAGGAACCAAAGTGTTCCGCATCGCCCGAATCAGGGATTCCAACCGCCTCCAACCCAACACTACGATACACGACAGCATGCACAGAAAGGACAGCGTAGGCAGAAAAGCAGATCGGATTCAACAGGACAGAATAGTCAGGTTTTCGAGGATCCGGCATCCTGGCCGCCTGGGACTCAAGATCCATATTCGGAATCGCGCGAATCGGGCCGGCAACCTCGGCCAGAATATGATGGAGGCGATGGAGGAACAAGGGCCCTAAGACGCCGGCCGAGAGTTCGCCATGGGGAAAACTTGCAGATACGCGAGATGAGCCCTGGGAGCATGGTAAACGGAGAGGTGATTAGAGGAGAAGTAAGCACGGTATCAAGTCGCCCACCCCGGTAATATGTATTATCTTGGGGCTGGCCCAGATTAGCACCTCATTCAAGATAGCCAATACCAAGACGTTGAAGTTATTAGTTAATGCGAATATTCTTGTCCAAACTCTGGCATTAAAGCCGTCGAGTTTATATTCCTAGATGCTTGCAAATCAGCCCGGGTTCACCTCGCTTATCGTATCCCTTTGCAGACTTGCAAGATTGAGCAAAGCCGCAAGACCGATGTATAGTGAGTGTTAATTTGCGGGCAATGGAGCTTTCCTGAGATGCTTTCTCGTATCGTAGCCATTGCCTCTTCTGCTTTTCCGCAACATTGTTGAGGTTGAGATTGGTGGAGCCTGCGAAGTTTTGATGAGGCATTCTACTCAGCTCACATGTCACCATTCCAGCCGGCCGCATCGTTCGCCGAGATATCGACTTCGCAAAGTGTAGAAGCGGACGACCTAGTTGGAACAAGCAGGGGCAATAGTCAGTCTGCTCTGACTCCTTTCCCAAAAAGAAACTTCGACACCTGAATCATATCACTGATTTTCTACCTCTCTATCACAAGGCTCCCTCGTCTACTGAGTCCTTTCTCAATTCGACCGAATCATTCCATAGTGCAAACCGGGCCATGCCGACAGCCAAGGCAAATCAAGCCTCTGACCTCTCCTAAAGTACAAACTTCTCCTTCCCCCAAGGAAGAAACCTTCCTGTTGGTACCTCCCATCGAAACCCCGCTCCGTCCTAATGCTCATGAAGGGTATTTCCAAAAGTCTCCCCATCGAAAAAGATGCCTCCGCAGAATACTTCAAAACGCCGGAGCCCCCTCTCTTTCGCCGTGAGAGCCAAGAGAAAAAGATAGAGAGCCTAATAGCTCTTTCCGAACACCTCATAATTTCAATAAAGAAATCCCCTTTTCCACTTTCATGAAGCCGGTAATGTAAAGAAGAAGAAGATGATGATACGCCCCTGAAGTCCATGGTAAAATGCACCCTTTCGTCGCGGCCTAACAGCCTTGGGTATGCTCCGTCCGTTCCATCGTCTAAAGAGCAAGTTGCGAAACCCTTGCTGGGTTGAAGATACTGTCGTCTGTTTTCTGTTGTCTGTTGTCGGTCATTACAAAGCATCAAGTCGTGATACGCCCCTCCTCTGTCCTTCTCGTCCCCTACTCAAGTCGTGCATGTTGTTTGAGCCAACAACCGTTTTCAAATAGAGGTACAATGGTGATTTTCTCCATAAGCCGATGAAGCGAAATCCCATCTCAACGCCATAGGAAATCTGACGGCTTCACCGGCCTTCCCGTAGCATGCGAGATAATCCTCACATTCTCGCACGCATCCTCAAAGTCGTCGTCCATGTTGTACTCGCGGTAATACCACCCGCCTGTCCGCGGATCCCAGAAGTCCCGTCGGTGCAGCTCGGGCGTGTGAAGGCCTAGATACGACATCCACTGCGTGTGCTCGCGCAGGATGGCCGGGCTACTGACGTCCTCTGGCCCGAGGACGGTGTTGATGGGCTGGGAGATGGATTTCTGCCCGCGGGCGTCGCGGTCGTTGAACATGAGCATCAGGCGGGAGGCGATTTCCTTGTCGATTGCGCTGAGGGGTTGGCCGTGCTCGATGCGAGCTGCTAGGGATGTCAAGTAGGATTTGTGTCCGTTCTTTCTTGGAGAATGGAGATGGGCCTGATAGTTTGTTAGACCTTTTTCCTTGGGTTCAAAGATGGTGCGCGTTAGTGGGCGTCATCGGCTGTCCTCATACCTTCATCTCTCGCCGGGTGTCCGTAAGGAACGGGCAGTTGTCCATGATGCACCGATAAATCTCCTTGAGGTAGCCCGGCTCGGCCACCGGGGGCGGACAACAGTGGGTCGTTGGCTGCGAGTCCGGCAAGAAAGACACCGGCCGGCACTTTTGACAAAGGCCCCGGACGCACGGCTCGTTTCCAGGTCCTTCATGATCGAGGTAGTAGTGTAACTGGGGGTCCCCGGTACTGTCAACTCATAAAGTTCACCTTAAAAGACGGGTTCGTCTTAAACCCAAAACGGCGCGCATCATAGAACGTACCTCTGAGCATCCCGGCCGAGAGAATCCGGGATCCCTCCGTGTATCTGCCGGATTTGGCTGCGCATCTTGTAAGCGTGTGTTGCTCTCACACGGACATTATGTGAATAGGGGCCGAATATGTTAAGGCGGCACGTACTATCCTTAGTTCAATCCGGTCCTTTTGACTGACATCGCCCCGAATCACCTTGGCGGGCAGAGGCATGGCGTTCCATCGCAGACAACACATGGAACAGACGTACTTCCTCGGCCACCCAAAGTTCCCCTGCGCGTCCGCCACGGCCTCTGATTCCTGACACCGCCACCCAATGCCGTTACCGTACTCGTGGCGGCTGCCCGAGAGGCCGTAGTAGTCGATACTCCATCCGGTCTGGATCTGGTCCCCGTTGGCCACGGACCGCGATCCGTCCACCTCCGTCGGCAGAGAAAACTCCTGTGGCGCCGGACGGCCCACGGCGTTGCCGAGATAAAACCCCGTGTCACCGTCTACGCGAACGAGAACGTGACGCGGCTGCGAGGGCTCGGCGGCAGAGAGGTCGAACGGGTTGATGATCCCGGCAGGCGGACCCGGAGCAGACGGCTGTTGAGCCGCTGGTGCGGGATATGTGCCGTCGTTGGTACCGCCTTGGCTGCTGTGAATATCCCCGCTGCCGTTGCCGCCGCCGTGGCCGGCGCTTGCTGCACCTCCTCGCGTGATGGCCGCAGAGGCCGGACCACCAGTGACATCCGGTGCTTTACCGAAGCGGGGAGGTCCCGTGCCTTGGCGGCTGCTACTGCTAATACCACTGCCGCCGCCGTGGCTGTTGTGCGATGGTATCAAAGAAGCAGCAACTCCAGGCGGCTCTCGTTCTTGTGGCTGGGCCTGAACGGCAGCCGGGCGTGTCGGTGGCCATTGTGGGCTATACATGAGAGACCCATGATGTGGCGAGGGAAACGGATGGAAATCACCTCCCCCGAGAGAATTCTGATGCCCGACGAATCGATTGGAGACTGTCAGGCTCATGTTACGCGGGGGGAAAGATGTTGTGCTCCTGGAGGGTGCTTGAAGTAAAAAAGGCGGCAGAGCCGGGGACGAAAAGGACCCCAAATTGTCTGGTCTGGTCTGGCCTGGTTGTGCTTCGTTTCCTGGGTTCCTGGTTCCTGGGTTCTGGTTTCCTGTTGTCCTGGGGCGTTTACGTATCTGACAGCTTGTTCTTCTCACGGGATCTTCAGCTGTGAAAGTGATTTGATTGATGCTGCTGATGCTGGCCTGCTGCTTGCCCACGGGTAACTGCAGATGGTAAAGGGAACACAAAGTACGGAGAGAGGCGAAGAGAAGGGACGGGCGGAAGCGAGTCGGGTCATGTACGATGGAGCGGAGAGATAGATCTCAGACAATCAACGCGTGCTGGGAGTGGATGGAAGTTGTGTACAGAGTTGTACAAAGAGTTGAGCGGAAGTGAATGCAGTGAAGAAAGGACGGGAGATGTAGGAGGAGATTCTGATTGAATGACACCCCCCCTGCGCTCACGATATTCTGGTTCACTGGGCTGGACGTCTTCCGACGCTGGGCTGGGCATCGGGGGATCGGGGGGGAATCCCTCAAGAATCAAGGTACCATCCAATGAACCCAATCGCAATTCCCCAGTACCACCAGTACCAGCCCTCGGTCACCCAGCGGTTTTTTTCTCGCTGGTTGCTCACCTGAATCAAAAAGAAAAAGAAGGGCAAGGCGAGAAACTACCCCCCAGGGTGGCTGGCCCTAGTCTCAGAGTATCGCGAGAAGGAAAAAGCAATGCGCGTTACGGATGGATACCTAGTGTACGCAGTACATACACACTCTGTCTCTCAAAGTCTCTGTGTGGCCCCCATCGCCCTTTCAGTAAGTATATCTCCCTCTCCGCCTTGTCATCGTTCGCTCAACGCGTCCTTTGACGGCCCTGTCGCTACCCAGGCACACATACACACGCACTATACTGCGTACGTCTGCGCCTTGCAACGTGACTGGTGAACCTGGGGCGGGTTCCAGCGGACGGAAGATGCCCAATTTCTGCAGACCGACGCGTAGGCGTAGCGGATGCGCAGGAGAGCCAGACCCGGCTACGGGTACGTATCCGTACGTACGACACAATGATAGCGTGCAGTAGATAATCTTGGGAAGACTGCCAAACTGGAGCCCAAAAAGTCCAAAGTGGCCGGGGTCAGGGAGAGGAGCCAGGGGACCAAAGGCAAGGATCAAGTGAACAGCCAGGGGTTGGGAAGGGGAGGGGGGTGATCCGGGAGAGGAGGGGGGAGGGGAGCAGCAGCGGGCGGTTGGGCCAGGGCCGAGATCGATTCGATATGAGTGAACCTTCTTTTGCAGTGCTATCTCATTCTCCAGTGTTGTGTCCGTACGGATACCCAAAGGATAAGATCCGAGGCTGGACTCCTATGTCATAGTACGGATACAGCAGACATATTACTATGTATAGGTATAGGTAGGGCTCGCTCTCGGCACGGGAAGGCAGGACAGGATGCTGCCGGGTTGCGTTGTGAAAGGTATGCTGCAGGTCATCAAACATCATCAGACGAGGCGGAAAGGGCCTGGGCCAACACGGCCACCACCTACGGATACATAATACGGATACACATTGGGCGCAACCTCGTGGCTCCCAGGTTGGGTTCCATGCTTCCCTCAAGAGAGACATCATCGCGGGTACATATCTGTTGCCTTGCACCTGGATGAGCATCAAGACATCCCCGACACCCCTGTTTGCGCGCGTGTATGTCGTGGGTGTCATGCCGCTGCCACAATCTGCATCTGCAGCGTGCGCTGATGTGCTGCGCGCGTTGCGTGCTGCTGCGGCTTGGCTTTTTTTTGTCCAGACTCCGCTTCGATGTGCTGTCAGTGTCATACTAATCGTCACTCTTACACATGCGCAGACACCCACGCAGAGTACTTGTGTATGCGTACCCAAAGTAGTTGCGTAGGTACTCAAGTAGGCATCTGTATCTGCGGTTGAGAACACGAAGAAACGCCTCCCCCGGTACGGACGTATGCAGAAGGAAAAAGATAGATGAGTTGCAGATTCCCTCTGAGACTTGTGTCTCGTTCAGCATGACCAGCAGCATCTCAGCAAGCCCCCCCCGGCCTCACGTTGGGATTGGTTCGGCACGAGGAGACCCCTCTTTCCCAGGGATTGCTTATATTCCCGTGTACTTATTTGCACAGTACCCGTATAAGTTGTCAGTGGTTTGTTTAGTTTTGTGTGGTTGATGTCGAAAAAACATGACGCCCTATCCGCAACTGGGACCCTAATCCGCGGCACTAAGATAAAATCCACAACTCTCCGATCGATAGACGAAGCAAGACTTGTCAAAAAGTCGATAGTCGACAGGAGGAGCTCCAGGGACAGGCCTCCAAGACGTCTACCTATGGGCAAAGATCCGGGGAAGACGGACCAATAGGCGATGCGTCGAGTGGCGTAAAAGGAGGTGCTGCATCTCGCTCTAAGAAGCGGTTTAGCAGGTTTTGGCCTAGTTGTGGAGAGTCTGTTTTTGCTTTTTCCCAAAGTATTTGCCCCTCATCAACAAGTCAACCTCCTTCGGGCCCATTCCCGCTGGAATATGGATCCGCGATGAATACAAATCTCGCAAACCGCGTCAAAGACAAGAACCTCGGAATGGTTAGTGGACATGGCCTGTTAAAGCCCTTTTACCCGCTGCCTTGGTCTCGCTTCCCGTGGGTTCGTGGGCTCGGGTTTTTGACTGCCGTGTTGTGTTGTAATGTATAGCAGCATGCGCATTGTAGTTGATTGTGCGATTACTTTGCCCCGAGCTCTCTGCCTGAGCCTAGCTTTTGCTTGAGCTCTTTGCTTGAGCTCAATGTGTATATGTCAAGTTGCAGTTTCGGCTCTGCACCATCATGCCTTCTGCTACCCAACACCAACACACAACTGATGACTGATACGAAAAGAACCCAGAAAGAGAAACGCCTCGCAATCATAAACGACCACAAAATCCCACATTTGGCTCTCCTCAATTTCGAACGACAGGGCAAAACGCCCGTTCTAACACTAAACCTAACGGCCTGTGCCCAGTGACATATCCCACCGCCGGCACTCGTCCAAACACCTTGACTATTGGACTGCTACCGATATTTCCCACCTCATCCCCTGGCAATCCCTTCTCGTCAACCCCGAAAGGAAAATGTGACGAATGACGACCCGATCGACTGGGCCTGACGATTGCGCTTGGGAGGAGCCAAAGAAAGTTGCCGACGTGCAGCAGCCCCGTTCCGTTGGTGCTGACGGACTGGAGCCTGACAGAAATGCTGACGGACCATGGCTGGCCAGCATGGATGATGGATGGATGGATGGACTACCTCAGGCAGGCAGGTATTCATACCTAGTCTAGTTAGTGGCACAGCTGTACTTATTCAGACCGAGAACACCATCATAATCAACGTATTCAGGCTGAGGGATCCGAGATACAACACGATCATGGTGTGATCCAACGATTTCTCCCTACCTACGGATATTGTACTCCAGTCTCTCCAAGTCTCAGTCTCACTATCCGATCCCGACTCCCGACTTTCCCACCCATCCCAAATTCCCCATCCCTAGCCTCGCTTCAGCGTGACGTGACAACCTACTTTACTTAGTACATCCCCATCTCCAGCCATCACGAAACATATCAACCCTCACAAAATAAATTCCGATCCAAGTGAAGAATTTTATCTTCCACCACACCCCCCATTTCACCTAACTAGCTAGCGCCGAATCGAAATGTCCAGTGCCCAGTGTGATCCGCAGCTCCAATTCCTAAGTCATAGCTAAACCCTACACAGCAGTCCTTGACGACAACGAACCGTAGGAGCACTCGAAAAAGCAATAATACAGCGTCCCCGGGTCCCACGGAATCAACTTCCGGACCACCACAACCAACAACTGACACCACCACGATCGACAAGCCACGCGCCGGACGCCCGCTTTCCCAGCCAGCCAGGGCACGCCGCACAGGTCTCCAAGAAGAGAGACATTGGGGGGGGGGGGGGGGGGCGCCGTCCTTTCCCTTTCTGGAAGGAGGGATAAAGGGGTACAATAAGTGCCCCGGGGGTGTCCCCCTTTCGACGCACGGGGGGTTGTGGGGGGGTGGGGGTGGGGGGGGTTTTTTTGTTTTTTTTTTTTTTCTTTAAAATAAAAAAAAAGCTCAACGGGGGGGGGGGCGCCGTACCTTTCCTTCTCTGCAGATAGGATAAGTAGGTACAGTAAGTACGCCGTCGGATGTGCCCTCTTCGACGATCAGCGGTGTGTCGTGCGTGCTGCGTTGGTGGGTTTTTTTTGGCTTTTTCTTTCTTTCTGCAAATAACATAAAACGCTCAACGGGCGAGGAAAGGGATGTGGGAAGCTGAACGGCAGAGAACCTGGTCGAGCTGGTGTCGAGCTGGACTCGGGGGCAGCGCTCGGATGGACAAGGGTCTTGCAGGCTACGGATACAGATACACAAGGGAGCATTAAAAGGGATACACTTGTTCGTTTTGCCGATGCCTAAGATGGTCCAAAGATGGCTGAACAGCTAGCTGGTCATACTGATCCTACCGACATCCGACACCCATCATCTAGGTCTCTGTTCCATAGTCTAGGGTTCAAACATTGACCATCTTCACCCCCTTGTACGGCAGTCGGGTTCGCGTGTAATACGAACTACCAGCCCTGAAATACCGCGTGAAAATAGCCGCTCTCGGTTCGAACTTAGCGAGACAAGAGACGGAGAATCAGGGTCGCAATCCTCACTTCTCCAGCAAACGGCTGAGCACCCGGATGATGCACATATCTCGACAGTCGTCATTGCGCCACTGCTGTGGCACTGGAACTGCATTCCTTTGCTATGCGGATGGCTTCAGTGTCTCAAATTGGGTATTTCAGGAAGCATGGCTCGCAGAGTCGCAGCCTCCTTGCTTCCGGCCTCACACGTATATTGAGCCTGGCCAAATTGGCCCCAGAGCGTGTTCCCCGAGTGTCCCCTTGAATGATACCAATGGATCCTCTTGACAACGTTGTAGCAATTCGGAGGATTTGCACGAAACCGGGTACCTTTGCGCACGTTGCACATTCGAATCGGAAACGTTTTGTCGATGACGATTTGGCTTGGCTCCTGGCCTCCCGCAAGAGCCGCATGTCAAGCTCTCAGCGTGTCTCCACTCACTCTACGATGTCCGTCAAAAGAAACTGAAATGCTCGGGTTCGACGCACGGTGTTACGTTGGGGGATATGCGTGGAGCTCGAGTTGCACAAACACCTGGCATTTTGCGTGGTGACGGCAAAAAGAAAGCCTTCGCAAGTCTGATTCGCTGTCCTTGCTGGGCCGCATGAGGGACCTAGACGGTGGCTTGAGGCGGTCTGGGAGGTTCTTGGCGCCATGATCAACTCCTGAATTGCATAGAAATGCAGGGAATACTCTGCAAAAGCTAGGCGGATGCTGACTTGTAGACGACATCAATCGTTACGACTGACACCGGCGCAGAACAGTCGCCGAGTAGCCTACATCTAGGCACTGGTGCTGAAGTAATAGTTCTCCCACAGATACTCATAGTCCTCCAGAATGCCACCGACCAGGTTGGGTACTCTGGATCGTACGCCGCCGACAACACCCTTCATGATGTTCTCGTAGAATGCTCCGCGCATGGTCCACCAACCCATGGCCCAGCCTCTCTTGCTCCATTCGTCGCGTTCGAGGGGCGTTGTCCTGAAGCCCCGGTCTCTGAGTTGCCGTGCTGCGTATTCGACGCTTAGACCGACCAGCCACGGTGTCCATGACTTCTTATTCTTGCTTTTCGACAAAGCAATGGCATACACCAACGGGGCGAGGATGTGTAACACCTCTGCTGCCTGTGCACTGCCCTGTAGCTGATTTAGCAGCTTTGCAGCTGGTTTGATATCCTCTGCCGTCAATACCTTGCCCAGGAGATAGCCGCTGATATCACCAGCATTGGGCAGCGAGGGAAGGCTCATGCCCGTTCTGGGCATCGTCCAGTCCTTCTCATGAGGCTTCTGGGCCTCACCGCTGTCTTCCGGTGCGTGCCCATTGGTCGGCTCTTCCAGAATATCCTTCAAAGCGGCATCACTTTCGGCCTCGGTTTCTTCAGGGATAGGCTCACGTTCCGGGAGGACGGGCGACACAAGAGGTCGAGAGCGCGTCACGCGCAATAGTAGCAGGCGGCAGACGGCCTTGATAGCCTCCAAGAGCACGACGACGCGCCATCGACTGCGCTCGCCGCCACGTCTCTTGGCAGCCATCTCGCATAGTAGCTGTGTGTATGTGACCATCTGCAGTAACATGGCAATGCGCCGGTACATGGGACTGCGCTGAGTCCAGTATTTCGTATATCGGGCATGAGGGGATGGCAATCGCGCCATCGGGATGCGCGACAGGGCGCGCATAAGAAGGGTATCATGATATAGAGAGAGGAGCTGCACACTCGAGTGGACAGTTTCGGAAGCAATCTCGGCGTCGCGGAATCGACCTTTGAGAGCCAGTATTAGACGGGCGATAGCGAACACAGTTCTTGTATGGAGAAGTGCCTTACCAGGAATGATGTACGTGAGGGACCGTAAAGCCGACTCTATTTGAGAGACCTGACTAGAGTTCTTGGTGATGAACTCTTCGTACATGTGAAGCCATTGCGGCGGTAATGAAAGAACGGCGCGGATTTTGGACGGCTGATGCGATAGCCGCGTCTTGTTGGGGATATCGGCGGAAGTCGACATGGTGGAGGATTCAAATCATTAGGGCGTGGCGAAGGTTTGCGAAGGTTGCGCAACGAATAGTCGAACAAGAGGTGGGATTGAACGAGCACAGAGAGAAAGCGCGCGGCGGTGATGTCAGCACGAAGAGAATGAAGAAGAAGAAGAAGAGGACAAAATGTCAAAGATGAAGCGGTTGTAAATGACAACGCAGCGACGTTAGGATTTGTGAAGGAAGTGAAAGTGGTTGGCGGAAGTGCGAATTAGGTATTAACGTAGGTAAGCTATCTCACAAACGCCAGAGTCGAGGTGGTGCAGGTGTATCTGTAGGTGCAGACGGGATGGCGATGGTTTAATGACGGAAAGTTGCAGGGACCTCGGTGGGCACGCTCATCGCGACTGACGTGGAGTGCGCCTGTTGCTCCTGTGCTCCTGCTGATCTGACCTGAGCCCGCGGGCGACCGACCGTAAGCCGAGGTCGCGGCGTCGCCTGCCACCTCAGGCAAGTACGCTGGGTCTCTGGCATGAGATAGGAAAGTGCATCATCACCCGCCTGTCCATTGCATTGGGCCAATGAAATTGCGTTGCATGCCTCGGTAAGGGCAATCCCTGCCGCATCATAGCCCGTCTACTTACATGCCCTTCCTTAACGTACTTGCCTATAGGTACTTACACTCAGATTGACATATCCCTACGGACCTCAAGTGACCCTCACGACGATACCAACAACGAACCTCGCTCGCACTACACTCTTACAGGCCTTGGCCCCCTGGAAATATCTTCATATTTGCACAAAGCGATTAGTATTTGCGTTCTAGATCCTCGCAGTACCGCGACCTGGCACTGTTGTGCCACACTGACAGCCCGTCAACATAGCTGCAACGGGTACATGGAAGGGGCCCGAGACAGCCTGCTCTGAAGCACATGTCGTCTTCGTCTCCAATAGAAATAGTAGGGTATCACAAAAACAAAATGCCTTGCCCGAGGCCAAACTCCTGTGCGGGCAGAACGAGGCCCCGACCCAAGTCCACTCATACGTAGAGGTCCATCTCATAGTTGAA